ATCTGCTAGTTCCCGTGCTACTGAGGATTTGTTCATAAAGTCTTTTCCTATACCAATGTCTTCCAGAGTTCTGCCTAACTTACCTTCCAGCAAGTTTAATGTTTCTGTTTTAATATTTAGATTTTTAATCCATTTGGATTTTAATTTAGTGCATGGTGAAAGATAAGGGTCTAATTTTAATCTGTGGCAGGTTGACATCCGTTCACTGGATATTTTTAAAGGCCTTTCACATATCGGTAGACTTCCTGTACTGACTTTGGGGCCATCTTCTTTTTAAAGGTAAATTTACATAACTCTTCCCTGACTGTGTACAGGTTGTTAACATTTTTCTGAGGGTACTTTAATTCTCCTTTTTCCAAATTTTCAGGGGCTACTTCTTGAGTCTGTGTAATAGTGCCAGGTCTACATCAAAGTGAATCTGAAGGCGATTTCTTGATTCACGTACCCATATACTAAGATGAATTTCCTACTTCCACTCCAGATAATATCCACAAACCAAAATGTTTCTTTTACTTTTTCTTTGTATCTATAAGACAAACTATCGTCCACTCATACTCGGTAATGTGCAAAAGGTGTCCTTAGATTTACCATATATGTACTTTGACAGATTGAAGATAGGAGGAAAGGAGACAAGGAAAACTGTAATTTAAAAATGGTACTTAAATTTTAAAATTAGTGTTTCCATATTTTTATCAGTACGTGCTGTTTATACAGATTACCAAGATTCATTTTGGAGATTTGTACGTGCACATAACATACTTTAATCATAAGAAAATTATAAAATTGTAACTTCCAGACACAGAATTATTCGAGTATCCATTTGCACTCCATGTCTTTACTCCTTAGCTCATTTATGCTCCCTAAGATTGTTTTTTCTTCCAGGCCCTCCAGCCAGAACCCTTAAAGGTACTAAGTCCATAAATTAACCAAGTTCTTAAGATTAAGGGCAGAGACCTGACAGTCAAATAAAGAAACAGATTCAAGAGGGTCAAAAAATGTTTTTAGGCAAAACATCTTAGATCCCTCTTAAATGATACCTCCAGGAACACACAGGAGGTGTGATTGAGTAACAAATACCTTTGCTTTGAAAATGTATTACAGTAAAAGATAAATTGCCACTTATCCTCTCAGAATCCTCCTGCCCCCTTGGAACACACTTACCCCGTGGTTCAGAAGCAGCTCAGAGGTTCTCTCTCATGTCTTTAGCCCTGTCCTGGCCGCCTCTGTGTCCTGAATGGGTTCAAAACCACCTTCCATGGGCACTTTGACTTTGGGGAAGAGCCAGAAGTCACGCGGTACCAGATCTGGTAAGATGGATGAGGACATCGTGTTTTGATGAACCCTCCTTTCCACTGGAAGGACTGGCGTTCATCGTGTTTTTGTTGTTATTTTTTAAAATCACTTCCAGAACTGCTTAAGAAAGTGGCAAGAATAATGGGATAAATGTGTTCGAAGCTAGGGGGAGTACTTTGAAGGAGATAAATGGCAACGTGCTTCTTACTGTGGTGCTTTAAATTTTTTCCCGGTACCAGGAATCAAACTCAGGACCTTGCCCTTGCCAGGCAAGTGCGGCGCCATCCCCGGCCTTACTGCTCTTCTTATTGTAATACAATTTTAAAAGTTTAGCGATTCACTGTATTTTTCGATCGTCCGTCATATATTTTTCTCCAACCCCAGGTCACAGCACACCTGTCTTTGAGGGCCTGCATGCTGCTTTCTCTGCGTATTTGATTCTGTGCCCGTCACTGATGGTGTCCTGCGATTCTTTTCTGTGACATAAACCAGCGAGCCTACAACTTACTGGGTGAGGAGGGCGAGGGTGGGAAATGAGGCCTCCTGTCCTAGACAGAAAGCGTACAAACGACCAGCAGGCCTGTCTCTATGACCACGCCCCCAGTGGGCGGGACACACGACAAACAGGCCACGCCCAGTGGCGGGGGGGGCGCCCCCTCTCCGTGGTGGCAGGCGATCCGAGCCCGGCGGCGGCCCGTGGCGGAGGTTGAAGGGAACTTCTGATGCATGGAGGACCTAGCGCTTTCAGGCTCGTCCCTGCTCTCTGCGGTTATGGATGGGCAGAGCACAACAGAGGCGTCCACTTGCTCCAAAGTCTTCCAGAAGCCCCTGGTGCTCAGGATCCTCGACTTGCACTCCGAGCTTCGGGAGTCCCAGGGAGAGGAGGAGGAGACCGAGGAGGCCAGAGAGCCGGACGACGGACGCGAGGGCGATAAAGGGCAGCAATCAGGGCAGTCCCCCGGCTCCCACAGACCCCCCGAGCCCTGTGGGCCCCCCACATGGCCCCAGGACGGCGAACACGAGGCACCCTGTGAGTCCAGTGAGTCCTGGGTGCCCAACAAGCCCTGGGAGCCCCGCGAGGCCGAGCTGTTTCCCAGCACCGCGCCAAGGATCTGTCCGTCTCTGATCGCCAGATGCCCACCTGGCCTCCACCTGTCTTCCCTGAGCTGTAGGTGTCCCCTCCCCAGAGCCCCATTCAGCCAGGCTGGACGTCCGCGAGGAGGTTCGCCCGCTGCAGTTTGCTGGGCTTTAAAGGAACCTTGCGCTTGTGTCATCTAGCGGGAGCCATGGGAGACAGACATTTTGATAATGACGGACTCAGAATCTCTACTTCCTTGGCTGCCACCTGTTGACGCCCTTGCTGTCCAATGAACTGTTTTTACTTCCCAAAGGAAGTAAATTCTCCTCGGCGGCTAATCATGGCATCCCCTGGGAGGTGCTTTCCTATTATTACTTTTAAGTTTTGTTATATCATTTCTCCTTTTCGCTGAAGGGAGGGTATTTTTGTCAGTGACACACGGGCACTTGGAAAAACAAAGCACTCCTGGAGCAAATATTTAGAGTGTGCCTGAGTGCCATCTCCTCAGTCCTCACCAAGTTCCAAAGGTATCAGGGACCTTACGTGTGGTGGTGCACACCTGTAATCCCAGCCCTTGGGAAGCTGAGGCAGGGATCGCTGTGACTTTGAGGCCAGCCTGGGCTCCATAGTGATTTCAAGGCCAGCCTGAGCTGCATAGTGAGACCCTGTCTCAAACAAACAAACAAACCCAAACTTCAACTGCATCAGCTCACTAAAGACCCAACCCAGAACAATTCTTTGTCCACAGTGGCCCTTCAGTCTGACCAGTTTTTATCACATGCTCTCCTTCGCTCCTTTTTGCCCAGCCTCAAATTCGTGTTCTCTCCTTGCAGTTGCTCCCACACAACTTCCACTTCCTGGACTCTTGCTCTTGCCACCGTACTTCCTCACAAAGCCTTGACTTTAGTTCAACCCAGCAATCCGTCCACCCTCTTACCTCAGCTGTTCCTTCCTGACCTCCCTCCGCACCACCATCGCCATCTTTCTGTTCTTCACTGCAGAAGTTGTCAGGAGAGCTGATCCACTGCCTCTCCTGCCATTCTCTCCTCAGCTCACCCGGTGAAACTGCTCTAGTTTCTGGACTTTCCACCAGCACACAGGCATCATGAGTCCAGATTTCCCATGAATAACCCACTTGGCTCCTCAGTTCTTTGATGTCCTTACTTGGAAGGATGTTGTCTTTCAGCCCACCTTAGGGAACCACACCTCATCCCGGGGTGTGTGTGTGTGTGTGTGTGTGTGTGTGTGTGTGTGTGTGTGTGTGTGAATTGCTGTACCATTTCTACAATCTAGCACGCTAATCTCTAACCACGCCCTATCTTTGTAGCTCACTCTTCTATGTCCCATTTTTGCCAAAATTTCAGCTTCAAAGTCACCTCTAATCCATTGATTCTACTATTTCATAATACACTGCCTATGCCTTCTCTCTACTCACCTTTTCTTTCGTGGTCCACCAATACAATCACTCACTTTCAAAACTCCTTAACTTGTAAAGCAGACAACTGTGTGCACTAAATTTACAACCTGAGCTTCTGTGAGGCTCAGTGGCTGTTTGGTAGTCAATTCATTTCCAGATGAACTGGAAATCATGGTTCACATCTCTCAAAATTCCTACCTCCCTTTTCACTCATGGCTGAAAACTTCACACTTTTCATCAGTGAGAATAGAAGAAATCACAAAAGATTTTCATGTACTTCTATCTTGGAATCTACCAAATTACCAGCATTGTACATAAATACTTTATTTTTCTCCTGTTAATAGTGAGTGAATTCTCCTTACTTTTTTTTTTGGTCCCAAGGATAGAACTCGGGACCTTGTGCTTGCAAGGCAGGTGGCAGCACCACTAAGCTAAATCTCCAGCCCTCTCCTTACTTTTATTAAAGACAATTTCCTCAGTCTCTATATTGAATCCCATCCTGTGGAATTTAAGCTCTTTGCTCCTAAGATTAGCCCCTTTCTTTCCCTCACTGCATTCTCTCTACTGGGTCAATCCTATCTGCATACAAATATGCACAATAACTCATATCTAAAAAAACAAACACAAACCTTCCTTAGCCCCATGTACTTGTTCAGATATTACTTTATCTTTCTCCTTTTTTATTTTTTGAGATAGGCTTTTGCTATGTTATTCAGGCCAGCCTTGAACTCATGGCAGTTCTCCTGCCTCAGCCTCCTGAGTGCTTGGATTACAGGTGTGTGCTATCATGCTGGCCTTTTTCTCTAAAGGAAATTTTTCTCAGAATAGTTGTCTGTAGTCATTATGCCCATGTCTTCTTTTTCCATTCTCTTGAGACCCACCTAAATCTTGGCTGTTTTCATCTCTTCTCTTAGCTGACATTGCTCTTAATGAGGTCACAATGACCTCTGTCTTTACCAAATTCTGGTCCTTTGTCTCTTTATTCACTGCCTTTTCTCTGGGTGGTCACAGCCATACTTGTGGCTGTAAGGAGTTCTCTGCTGCTGCTTCCTAAGTTTTTATATCTGCATTCCATTCTCCAAGTGGACATCTCCATTTGGATACCCCATAGGCACCTCAAATGCAGTAGGCTTTGTAATAGAAGTCTTGATTTTTCCTCCTCCTCTTGCTCTGCCCTCAGTTTTCCCATATAACAAAACAGCATCCAGTTGCTCAAGCTAAAGACAGACCATTGTTCTTCCCCGATTCCTCCTTCCTCACCCTCACTCAGTGAAAGCTGTTAGCTCAACCTCCTGAACATTTCTGGAGCCCATTCATTTCCTGTGCAGCACCCCCATTACAGTGGCTCCTGACTTAATTTCTCAGCAGTCTCCCTGCTTGTGTTCTCATCCCCTGCAGTCATTTTGTTACTCCAGCCAGAGTGGATACTTTAAAAACCCGAGTAAGATCATGCCTTTTCCCTTTGGTCCTTCCTGTGGCTTTCCATTGACCAGAGAATCAACTCAAGCTTTATTTTTTTTGTTTGTTTTTTTGAGACAGAGTCTCACTACGTAGCCCAGGCTGGCCTCGAAATCATGGTGATCTCCTGCCTCATCCTCCTGACGCTGGGATTACAGATGTGCATCCCCACATGTGGCAGCTGAACTCAAACATTTTCGGGAGTCTCAGAGCACCTCAAGCTCCTGGCGCCAGCCCCTGCCCCTCCAGCCCACTCTACGCCACTGCTTCCTTCTGTTCCTCTGACACCATCATCATCATCTTTGCCCCGCTTCGAGCCTGCGTTGTTGCTGCCTCTGTTTCGTGCTTGTGTTTTCTCAGGACCCTGTATCTCATCCTATCGTCAAGGTCTCAGCCCGCATTTTAATGAATGAATGAATGAATTCCAGTGCGGGGGATCGAACTCAAGACCTTGTGCTTTTGAGGCAGGCGTGGTGCCAGTGAGCTAAATCCCTAACCCCTCAACCCATATTTTTAAAAAGTGGGGAAACTATAATCCCAGTACACTGGGAAGTTGAGGCAGGAGGATTGATTGTAGGTTTAGGCCCACTCTGGGCAATTTAGTGACTTAACCAGACCCTGTATTTATTGTTTTTCTTTTTCTTTTCTTTTTTTATAAATTTTATTTTATCTCATTCCCCCCCTCAAGCCCCTTCCCTTCCCTATGGACAGAAGCTTTGTTTCCATTCTTTCCTTCTATTTTTACTTTTTTTCTTATTCCTTCCATCTTTTCTCCATCCCTCCTTCCTTGTGTACCTTTCCATTTGAACACTTTCTACTTCTCAACATCCATTATACATTTCAGTCCTTATTTCCACTTCCAGTTTCTCATACCAGAGAAGCAGTGTGGTATTTAAACATGTGTGTCTGGTTTATTTCACTTAAGAGTATGGTCTCAGGGTACATCCAATTAGCTATAAATGCCTGAAGCCCATCCTGCTTTATGGCAGATAACAGTAGTACTGCATAGTAAGAAAGAGCCACATCTTCTTTATCCACTGTCAGTTGATGGGCATTTGGGCTGTTTCCAAGATCTAGCTAAACAAATTGTGCCACTATAAACATGGGTATGCGTATTTCACTGTGGTATGATACTTTTAATTCTTTTGAGAAGATACCAAGAAGAGTTATAGCTGGGTCAAACGGAGCCTCTAGTTTTAGTTTTTTGAGAAATCTCCACACTGATTTCCATAGTGGTTGCACCAGTCTACACTCCCACCAATAATGGAGAAGGGTTCCTTTTTCCCTACAACCCCACCAGCATTTGTTATTGGTTGATTTCTTGATAGCAGCTATTCTTTCTGGGGTGAGGTGGAATCTCAGCGTTTTAATTTGCATTTCATGAATGACCAGGGATGTTGAACATTTTTCATATATTTATTTGCTATCTCTAATTCTTCATCTGAGAAATGTCTTTCATTTTAGATGACCAATTGTGCACTGGCAGACCCTATCTTAAAGGACTGTCACATGCAGTGGTGTAAACGTGAGGCACTATTTAGTCAGTGTACCTTTGCCCATTCTACCCGCATTTACTGACCATCTACAAAGGCCTCTTCTGATTCTTTTGGGCTGCAAGGATGACTCACCCAAGCTGTGTGCAAATTCTGTACAGTGGGCCCCATTATTCTGTTGATCTTAAAACTGTCATCCCCTCACCATCACTGTAATTGTTAAATTTATCAAGCACTTAATGTGTTCAGGGCATAGATAGGCACTGAGCCATAGATGAGTAAGATGTCTTTGGAGACAGGGTTGTGAGAGCAGCACAGTGTGCTGTATGTCCGGACAGTCAGCTTGTCATTATGCCCTTTTGAGCAAGAGTTCGAAGAGGCGTCTTAGGCTAACCGCTCTTGCTCTGGGTGCCTCTGCCATCTCACCTGTGAGCAAATCCCTCTCCAACTTCTCTCTCCCAGATGACCGTGAGCCGCGGAACTAACTACTGGATTGCGGAGCACCAGGTAGGAGCTGGGTCTACCAGGACGTGGCTCATGGCTGTAACCGAGAACTCTGGGAGGCCGAGGCAGGAGGATCTTAAATTCCAGCCCATCCTGGGCAGCTTAGAGACTTTGCAAGATCCTGACTAAAAATTAAAAAACGGGCTGGAGATGTAGCTCCGTGTGAGGGTCTGGGTTCAACCCTCCGTGGGGGAGCTGTGTCTAGCAGAGGTGTGAAC